AAAAATATCAAATTTTACAAAAAAAATGTAGTAAAATCTCCTAACTAAATGTAGCCAAATTAAGAAGTGGATGCTCTACAATTTATTTGGTAAGGCTATTTTGGGTAGGGATGGTATCACATGATGTCATATATTAGGAAAAAGAATCCGCCCGAAATACTAGTTTTTGAAATTTCCATTTTGGCCAGCTTTTTATGTAAAATACCCACTTTATATGAGGCTTGGAGCGATTCAGAAAGAAAAATCAGTTCTAAAGCAAGTTATGGGTCCAGAAATATACATAGAAAATGTTAGCATTAGTTTCTTGAGATGTTAACGCAATTTAGCTGGTGTATTATTTCCAAACTAGTAAAACACAATGCATGATAACTATAGTAGTTTTTGGACCGGCTGGATATAAAAAATCGTGAGAGGAGATCTCGTTTACAAACAAAATTATCAAGACAACGTAACCCTCAGACAGTCCACACTCAAAAATTATACACAGTGAAATTCAGTATATTAACGCATTATCGCAAAATCTAATATATTCGCCAGATTGAGCACCATCTAACTGTACTTATATGCCAAAAACTGCATACAAAGCAAATGATTTTTTATTATCTGGGAATAAATTACATGATTACTGGGACCATTGTATTGAAGTTCAGCAAGACTATATCAAACAATGTATGTCAAAGTATAAAATATTATATAATAAGGGAATACTTGATGAAAAACAAAACAATATGGTCACAAACTGTTCAGGTTTTTGTCCAGCATTGTGGTGTATTTTTGCAATTTATCACTATATAATTATTATATTCATTACTAATAAAAATTAAAACAATTTGGAAAACAAATTTTTGTTGTATATATCAAAAAACAATTAAAATAAGGAAATTTTCGATTAATAAATAATAATTTAACACAAAAAATCACCATAAAACAATCTAATAAATAGGAACCACTACTGAAAAACTATCTTTTCGTTTTTCCTTTCGTAGGAACACAGAGCTTTTCCTTAGGTATTCTTGGAGAGGTTTTATAAAAATGTTTTTCGAAGATTCACAAAAATTGTAAAACCAGTAAATAAATAAATAACATGTTAAAATAATAAATATAAAAATGGCTGTGCATCCACTTTCGAAAGTTTTAAATCAAATACAAATCAAAAGGCGTAAAAAATTGAATGACAGTAAAATGCTTTAACACGTAAAGTGCCATAGTAGAATCTAAAAATACAGTCTCATATATACTCCGTGCCACAACCCCTGATGGTGTTAATTATTTTAATAATTGTAACGACCATGATTACGTTTAGCTCATTTTATTTCCTGCGTATGTATTTCTCCCATTTCAGGACAAGTGCGAAGATTTCCTGCCTATATTTTTTAGAGAATTGTCTTTTTCCAGTTTTATAATGGAATCTTTGGTCAGTTTCTCTGTACCTGTTGCACTTTTGTCTGCACTAATTCCAGACGGCAAGTGCACAATACTAAACGATCGTATAAAAAAATTCGTAAGCTCGTCATACTGTATCATTTTATAATCGATGTATAGCCTTTTACCGAGATTTATAGACTCAGATTAGGTAAGGTAAGTGAATATAACCTCAAAAACTGTCACAACGTACACCTTACTTAATAATTGTATTCTGCAATTTCTGCGATCAAAAATCAGTATAAAAATTACCAAAGCAACAGCAGATGCAAAAGACCCTAAGAATTTTCGGATTATCTTTTTATTTACCAGTTTTAAGCGAAAAATAAAAAAATACAGGCTGTATTTTATTTTTTTATTTTAATATGACTATTAACTATCATATCCAATTGCAAATATTTTAAGATATCAATCTATTAAGTCCGTGTAAAAATATTCGAGACATATTTTATGTTAGCATAATTAAAATATGCACTTAGTACTTCCAAAAAACATGAACCCATTTTTTATGATAACGCATCTATTTTTTTATTTCCATAATAAAATAGTTTAGTCAGTCATACATACCTGAAATATTTCAATGTTTAATTAATACTGATAGAAAGGAATGAAATATATACCGTCGGAAATAAGTATACGTGGTTAAATATTTAGTTCTCTTAATATATCTGTCTAACAATATTGTTACGGTACCTCATTATGTGACGCCACTGGTACTTTAGTGATGACCGGTTCCACAACTTCGTTTGCAAATATTTGGATACAGCGTGGAGCTGTAAATTTAGCGATTCGAGACCATTATCGATCTTTCGAGATTAAATAAGACAGCTTGTTTTCACCTCAGCCAAATGTGAAGACAGCTTAGTTTTGTGAAGCCAATAATTCTTGCCCAACCGTCAATACAGCCTGTCTCTGAATAACCATCATCTGACTATAGTTAGCTGTGTAAAAATTTGCCGGTCTTGTAAACAAGACTTCATTGTGTCATATAAAGGACATAGCGTTGGTTAATCCACTAGTTTTATTCCCGGTTAAAAGTCGGGTCCTTCTCCAAGAAGAAAAAGATCACTTAGATCTAAATGGTTTTTGTAAACAATGTCTGTATTTTAACTGTAAATTCTAAAGGGTAGACTATCAATAACTGGGGAATAAAATAATAAATACTGAAATACACAATCTTGAAGTTCTAAAAACAGTTCAGCAATGTTAGTTTTCTATTCAAATATAAATGATAGACGAATTATTTTCTAAGAGAATATGTTTTGTAAGACCACTCTAAACGACTCTAAAATATCTCTTTCTTTCAGAATCAAATTTCTGTATAGAAGATATGAATACCTCTCTTTCTCAAAAGATTTTTTTTTGTTCAAAAAACGTGTTTTGACCTATCTTTGGACTTCTTAGTGTAGGAGCGTATGTGTTATAGGAGTTGTAAGGGGTGATTATAGTTAGTATCTCGTTATTTTCCAAGTTTATATCTACTGGCAACGAATCTATCGAGAAAGGCGACATGAGAAATTATTGTATTCGGAGTAATTAAGATACCGTTAGGGTGATATATCCGGCAGTACGGTTGATTGTGGAGGATGTATTGATTTTTAGACAGGTGTCAGTGAGGGTAAGAATTTGGATATTATATTTTAAAAAATATGTTTGATAAAGTGTCGTTTTCTTGCGACATCATGTTAGAGTTAGTGCGCTGTCCATTTGCTCTGTTGCTACAGGCTACAAGTGTTGACGTATAATACAAGAGTTTGGTTTTGTAGTTCGCTTCGGTTAAGGAATAAGATCATGAAGAGTTTTCATGTCTGACTAGAGTTCGTATAGATACATCTATATGTCAAGCGGGGGTTGGTTTTCTGATTTTTCGGCATTTTAATTCGTTGTGTTCGTTCTTGCAACACTTGCCACGGACAAGGACAATTGGAGGACATTTTGGTGTATTTCACTTAACCTGCGAGTGTTATTCCTTGCCATAATTATTTGTAGCGGAATTATGGAAATACCCATTTCTACTAGAGCGTTTTTGATTTTCTCTTTCAAATAAGATTTTGCTACTTCTTTTAGTTTCGCCATATACAACGGTGTTGCTGTCTTTTCAATTTGTCCTAGAAGCTCCAGCGAGTTGATGACGTTAAAGAAGTCACGTTAATTTGTTGGTAGTTGAGTGCTTAGTGCTTGAGAGTTGGAGCTTGAGTGGTGTCGAGCAGTTTGAACGTAGGATTGCGTTGGTATTTCGGGTTTCAGAAAAATGAGTGTAATAAGTGTAAGACAAATGGCACTACATATCATGTCTACTTCTTAAATTGAGCAATTTTGTTAATAATTTGTCGTTTTTCTCTCCGGGCCTGTCTCTGATCTGCTGTTATCTGATGCGACCTAAATATGAATGAAGAACAGATTTTTTTGTGGTATGTGCAAACCGTCCTCTATAAAACATTATAGTCACTTGAGTTATTGTTTTATTACATAAAAGTAATCGATTATGTTAGTTTCAGCAGACTCAGCTTCTTTTCCATAATTATTTTTATTATCATCATCATCAGTGGCATTAGAGCTCGTCATGAGCCAAAGCCTTCTTCAGAACAATCTTCCATTCGCCCCTGTCTCTGGCAACTCTTCTCCATGCTTTAAGTACGATGAATTTTAGATCATCCTTTATGTTATCTTGATACCTAAGTTTTGGTCTTCCTCTGCATCGTCTTCCCACTGGTCTTCTTCGGTCGAAAATTTTTCTGATCGTTGCACCTTCATCTCGCCTAATTACATGTTCTATCCATCAGAGGCGTGCTAATTTAATAGATTTTACAACGTCAGGTTCCCCAAAACTTCTGTATAATTCAAAGTTGTAGCGATTACGCCAAAAACCCTGTTCTTGGACTCCTCCATATATTTTACTTAGAATTTTTCTCTCGAAATGTCTCAGCGGTTCTTGGTCGTTCTGTGTAAGTGACCACGTTTTTGACCCGTATGTTAACACTGGCCTTATTAGTGTTTTATATATGGTAATTTTATTTTTCTGGGTAGTTTTGGGGCCATCTGTTTCCTCAGGCTTTAATAGAACATATTGGCAAGCACTATTCTTCTTTTAATTTCTTCGCTGACATTGTTGTCTTTGGTCAGCAGCGAGCCCAGGTAGATGAAGGTGTCCAGTTCAAGATCATCAATTAATAGTCTAGGTATCTGGTTGCCTGATCTAGTACAATACATATACTTGGTTTTCTTTTCAGTAAACAATGGATTTCACGTGACCTTAAACACAACACGAAAATAGATTCAAATCCGGATTACAAAGTGGCCACAGAAACTGACATCTAAGACCTATTCTGCAGTTTTGGAGCTATTTATTTAAATCATATCTTACCAAAAAGTACAAATAAAACCTTTGCGTTTAGTGGTGTATAATCGATAAGTTCTATTAAGTTTCCTTGAAAATGCCTGTTTTTGAATAAATGATAGTTTTATAATAAATTGTTCATGACTGATTTTTATATGTATCACTTTAATCACTGCAGATTAAAATCTTTTCTTCATAAAGCATCCTGTATATTTATTTTTAAAGTAAATGTTAAATAAAATGGCTCTAACTATTATAGTTTAAGATTAAAATATAATTTTCTCGTTTTTTTTTTCTGTATCTGATGCGGTTTTGACTGCGCTAATTCCGGAAGGAAAAAAGACGAATAGACAGTGGAAAACTAGAAAATGGAAATTTTTTATTTGTATTTTTATATGAAGTATTAGTTGAGCAACCTGTGCATAAGAAGCATCGTAACAATTTCATATTGCTTTTGTCTAAGCTGTAAAAATCGAGAGAGAACATAAATATTTGAAATATTGATCATATTTTCGAATATTACCCTTAACATGTAGCGTTATCAGACCTCTCCATAGCTCTGGTTCCTTTAAAGGCCAAAGAAATACATTTTAACTAGTATCACTAATATTTCTTTGGTTGTCATGAATATAAGTACGTCAATTCTTTCTCGTCATCACGTTGTATCTTTTCTAAAGTTTCTTCTGGTGTCGAATACTGATTCTGAGATCCTAAAACAAAGGTATACACATTTTTTATTAAAGTTTGATGTGTTATATATAAATTAATTGTTTAAGCTGTGTAATTAAGCTATTTATAATTTGTTTATTTAAAGGTTGCACTGGTTGATAAACTAGGATATGTTTCTTCTTCTGCTAGATCGGCAAACGCCCGAAACGCCGCAATCATTCAGATATAATAAGCGACTATTTTACATACTTAAAGACTAGGCAAAACATAAAGCGGTTGCAATATTAATCTTACAAAAGTTTAAGGCCACTTGATTTAAGGCCAAAGATTAAAGGATTCCTAATAATTTTTATCAGTCAAAGTAAAATATTTTAAATAATATGGTATATAAATGTTAATTATGGTTAACTTCTTGTTTTAGATTTGAAGAAAACACCATGGCACCAAAAATGGGACTGTAACGAAGAGTATTCCAAGTTTTTATTAACTAAAAGAAGAATAACTCCATTATACTTTTTGTAACCTTGTGATTAAATAATTTTATATCTCTGTCTTTTACTCCAATTTCCCAACGTAGTATTATATAAAAATATATACAAAATGTAACAAGTTAAGCAAGGTAAGTCAAGAAAAAGCATTTTTGTGAGTACTGCTACTCAAGCGGCTATGTGGACTATCGAGAGCCGTAAAGAAGGCTCAATGCTAGTGAGAGAAGCCTAAAAGAATTCAATAAATGGCGGAACATAATAGTGTGATACATTCAGATCGTCTGGGAATACATGGCAATGAAAGTGCTGATGAACTTGTTAGAAGAGATTCAGCTACAACATACTACGGTCCAGAGCCGACCATTGGCACCAGTGCTAGTCAAAAAGCACCTCTGCGACGGAGAAGACGTACAATAAACCAATTGGTTTTTTGGCAATTGTTTGGAACTATTCGCTCCGTGCGTGACTGACGCGACACCTACCGCCTTTATCTGACCGTTTTGGACCTCCCAATTTTCAGGTTAAACATATGACATATGTTTGACATTGTTAAATACATGCGAAATTGACAATTATTAATAATTTGTTTAATAATTATATTTTTTCAGTTTATGTACCTACAAAATAAATGTAGTATTAAAACTGGGTTTCTCAAAATTCATCATAATATATCTTTTCAACCCCAAACGGAAAAGAAAGGGAAAAATCTAGTACTGGCAAATCAAGTTTTTCACGTGAAAGAGCATATAATTAAAAATAATAATAGTAAAAGTTATGATATAAAAGCTAAAGTCATCAGGCACTCTGCAGTTAGCTTGAAGCGTTATGAAATGTCATTTAAGGTAAATTATTTAGGTTTTTCCTATTTCAATTCAATAAAAATGAAATAATGTGATATTTACTTTTTCATATTAATAGCACGAATCCATCTTTTTTTTTCTCTAATTAGTCTAATATGTAATCTTTGGTAACCTATAATAACTACACTCCCTATTTTTGCTATTATTAGCACAATTCAATACGCAACATGTATTTGCACACATTTTTGATAAAATTTATGCTTAAAAAGATTCCAATTTTGTCATTTTTCGCCGCTACGGACGCTGGCATCGTTTCAAGGTTCCCCTATCATGGTCACGCACGGAGCGAATACACGATGTTTACTACAGCAAAGGCAAATTGTACTAATAAAATTAAGACGTGGCGTCACTACACATAGGGGAAACTTGTCCAAATAGAAATTTCAAAATTTTTCTTCTATTTGTAACAAACTGTAACTTATTTTTTATTATTTCTTTATTAATTTATGCCTCTAATTATTTCTATAATATTTTAGTAACGTGTAATAAAAGTTAGATAATGAAAAATCCTTGTATATAGAATTTTACCGGTTGTTAATACAGGGTGTTTCAAAAAGGTATGTCATCATTTAAATCACGCATTCCGGGGACAAAAATAAATTGATTGAATCCAACTTACCTCAGTATAAAAGTGTACACAAAAAAAATTACAGCCCCTTGAAGTTACAAAATAAAAATTGTTTTTTTGCATTATCTCCTAAACTACTTGACGTTTTGTAATAAAAATGGACACGTTACTTTTTTGTTCTGAAAGCATTTTTCATAAAAAAGAAACAACAAAATCTAATCGCACAGAAAAATTTTAAGGGGTCCTAAATTTCCCCAAATTTTGAGTTCGTTCAAATCAAATGAATTTTGTGGCATCATTAATTAAACACATTATCTTTAAAAATTTTTTGCCTCATTACTTTTTTCAAAAAACAGTTTTTATTGAGTTGCGGCCCTTTTCATTAACCTTTAAAAAATTACGTGCCACTAAATAAATGGCTTAAATGAATTAACAAGTACAAAAAATGTTTATAACTATAAATATGATACTGCAATAAATGTTCAAAAGTCCATGGTGTTAAAACCTGGACTTCTAGGTTGCCAAGAAATAGGTGCGTCACGACCACTTCCAATCCACCGACCCAGGATACTGCCTGCAAAGGTATTCCCGGATTTCATTACTGTAATGCTTTTGTACTTCTTCCAAATACTGTTGTAATAACAATTTTGTAAAATAATCCTCACCATTTAAATTGTTGGGAAGAAATACTGGGCCTATTAGATTGCTATCCACAATTCCTGCCCAAACATTAACTTTGAAAGTCCTTTGGTGATGACTCGTTTTTTTGCGTGAGGATTTTCGTCGGTCCAAATGTGCTCGTTATGATGGTTTGTTATTCCATTTCTACTGAAGGTAACCTTGTCAGTAAACAAAACATTTCTAATAAAATTTACATTTTGAGTGTTTTTCATTAACAACCAATCGCAAAATCCAATCGTTTTAGGATAATTTTCAACCAATAACTCTTGAACCATTGTTAAGTGATAGGGTTTAAGCAGCTGATCCTTCAAACGCCTTCACACCCTTACATTAGGAACATTTAGTTGAGCAGCTATTACCCTTGTACTGGTTCCAGAGACTTCTTCAATGATTTCTAAAATGTCTTCATCAGCTGCATCCATTATTGGACGACCACTATTGTCAGCAACTTGCGTTGGAATGTACCCGTTTCCCGTAAACGACGATCAACGGTCAGAAATAATCGTCTATTGGGTGTATTTCGATTGAGGTATTTTACTGCATAACGCCTTGCGGCTGCTGCACTATTTCCTTGACATTCTCCTACGATATTCCTGATTATTGAAATATATAATATATATAATATACATTGAAATCATAATTTAATCTGATCCAACTTACCCAAAGTTAAATGCATATCTGCCATTTCATGAAATGTGTAGGCCATTGTAATATCAAAATTTTTAATATTAATCTTATTCACACAATAAATGATAGCTTCAAATTATTGATGGAACTGTTTGTAATTATTGTATCCGTAGAAACTAATTGTAATTTTATGGCCAACTAGGAAAAAACTAGTTTTTCGAAAAAGCTATAAGAGGCAAAAAAGTTTTAAAAATAATATGTTAAACTAATGATGCCACAAAATTCATTTAATTTGAACGTACTCAAAACTTTGGGGGATTTAGGGCGGCACACTCCAATCAAAATTTTTCTGTGCGCTTAGATTTTGTTGTTTCTTTTTGTATGAAAAATGCTTTCAGAACAAGAAAGTACCGTGTCCATTTTTTATTAAAAAAGTAATTTAGGAGATAATGCAAAAAATACAATTTTTATTTTGTAACTTCAAAAGGCTGTAACTTTTTTGTGTACACTTTTGTACAAAGTTAAGTTGGATTCAATCAATTTATTTTTGTCCCCGGACTGCGTAGTTTAATTTATGACATACCTTTTTGCATCCTGTATATATCTGACGATCGCATTTTATTCTACTTAGGCACCTGTCATTTTTTAAAGACATTTTAATTACATATTTGTTTGCTTAGCCTTTTCACGATTGATTTTTTGTTGTGTATTTTCCAATTTTATCTGTCCATATATCTGCAGACCAAGTCAATTGTCTTTGTAGTATATAGTGATATGATCAAAATCCAAATTTGAGTTAACATCATTATAAACCAGTCCGTACTTATCCACTACTAACTGTATTATAAACATTTTGATATATTGATTCCATATTTCCAAACACTGGATTTTGTTAAAAAGATATTTTAGATGTTTCATCTCCAAAGTGTTTATTTAGGGTGCATAAACAACGACACGATAAAAGAACTAAGACATGTACATATTTGCAACGAAAAATGACACCATTTTCTTGAATTAAAGTCCAGAATATAAATGCACTCAGACATTATAAAGTTATCAACGTTTAACAGTTTTTTTTCTATTTCTATTTTCTATTTTGTTAACCCGATAATCCATTTTCTTTACTTTTCGTATAATGCCTATATACGGTTTGTTTTCAACGTTAGTAGAATTGTTGACAGTTGTCACTAATATCACTCTAGAGAGTTGGTTAGAGTTCTCAGATTCCTACTCTCAAATAGACAAAAATTTAGGGTGCTTTATGTTTGTTTCAACGAATGTGGTAAATTAATTGCCTGTTATATTTGGTCCATCAGATTTTCTTATTGTACAGTTTATATTAAGACAAGAACGATCCAAGATCTGTAAGAACCGGAGTAAACTAGCCAGTGCACAATATTGCGATCTAATTTTATTGGAGATCAATCTTGGTACACTATTTGATATACAAAATTAATTAAAGTCATATTTTGTCAGTATAATCTTATTTTTGACTCCAAAAGGATGTACCAAAACACCACAAAAAACTCAAAATACTGCATACTCCTGTTTATATATCATATATCTCCCTTATAGCGATCATCCTATAAATATCTAATAATGAGCTTCTGATAAGACTATGATAAAACTAAAAGAATTTTTCAAATTATACAAAAATATCTACCTTACATCATCAAACGAAAAATAAAGCGAATAAATATTACATAATGTAAAAGTAAAGGGGCTAAGCCGAAACGGAAAGGTTACGTCTTAACGGGTGATAGAAACGTGACATATTTTGATATAAAACGTACATTTGACGTTTCACATTACGTTTC